GTCCCTGTAGCCGTAGCTGCTCAGCCGAACCCTGAAGCCACGTTAGCATGGGTTAACGGCGATCACATGTGGAAAAAAAAGAGAAGGTTTCTAAGTACGCAAATGTTTAATAATCAACGGCTTGATTTGCTTCAAGAACTACGTCACCAAAAAGCGGAACAACTAGTGAGCCATATAAGGAGCCAGTGTGAGAGTGGCTCCGCTGTTGATATTGGACGGGTCGCGTTCGCGACCACGTTGAATTTAATATCGAACACGATATTTTCGATCGATATGGTGGATACGGAATTTAAAACGGCTCATGAGTTTAAGGAATTGGTTTGGACAGTTATGGAAGATGCCGGGGTACCAAATCTATCTGATTTTTTTCCGGTTTTAAAGTGGTTAGATTTGCAAGGAGTACGGAAGCGTATAAAGCCAGCGTATTTAAGGTTGCATGAAATATTTGAAGAAAATATTGAAAAGAGAATAGAAGCTAGAGCTATAGGGATGAAGAAAAAAGGGGATTTTTTGGATATACTTCTTGATCAATGTGAAGATGATGGGTCTGGATTTGGTACAAATATCAAGCCTCTTATGGTGGTAAGTAATAATTGCACATCTTCATTATTTTTTTGATAAGAACAAATATAATATCAGGCTATCAGATAACTACTTTTGACAGATAAAAAAGATTTCAAGATTTTTTAAAAATATTCATCCCTCGGAAAAATGAAATTTTGAGAGGTGTGAGGAAAATATTATAGTGTACTTTTATTAAACATGAAATTTAAGAAAGACTATTAAAATTTTAAAAAAGTTATATTTAACTGAAATTTGTTAATATTCTACTTGTGCATATTAAAACTTCAAGGTTTACTAGAACTATTACTCAACAAAAAATAAGAGCTTTAGTTTCGGCTCATCGGGATAGGGACAGGACCAAACATAGAACTTGTCAAAAAATATATGGCAAAATGGGTCCCAAACGTTACCGTCAATGTAACAGATATAAAATATCTAGATTAAATGTGGTTATTAAAAAAACATACTTTTCTTGTTCTACAAAGCAAATTGTCATCATACATTTGTGCATTGATTTAAGAAATGAAAAGACTTCCTATAGGTAAGTTTTAAATAATAAGTGGTACAAAATATTAAGCGTCAGTCCTGTCTACGGGCAAATTTATAGGTAAGATATGGGAAACGTAAACTAGTATTAATTCGATATAATTAAATACTTTTTAAAATAATTTTATTTTTTAATATTTATGTTATAAAAAAAAAATCAAATCCTGCACTTCAGTCAAAACCAAGTTAGCTACTATAGGACTAGGAATCCTTTTCTAAAAGTCCCTTAGGCTAATTTTATAAATGACTAGCAATCATTTTTATTTTTTTTGGTGCACTCATAGTCTAAATATCTTAGCACTCAGAAAACAAATGAATATTTGGTGAGATTAAAACAAAAAGTATAAAATTAATTATTTTGAAATACATCAATTATTATTCAGAAAGAATTAATAAAGATACGATTGTTACATAAATTAAAATAGAAAAGTAACATGTATATGTTTATGGCATGTCAGGATTTATTCATTGCGGGAAGTGATACATCGGCCATAACAACAGAATGGGCAATGGCAGAACTTCTTCGAAAACCTGAAGAACTCAACAAAGTACGACAAGAAATAATGGAACAAATAGGTCTAGAAAGAGCAGTTAAAGAATCAGACATGGACAAACTCCCATATCTTCAAGCAGTTGTAAAAGAAACGATGAGACTTCACCCCGCAGTTCCATTACTATTACCGCACAAAGCACAAAATGACATACAAGTGTTGGGCTTCAACGTGCCTAAATACAGTCAAGTTTTCGTGAATGCATGGGCAATCGGAAGAGATCCCAAGTCGTGGGAAAGGGCACTAGAGTTTTTGCCTCAAAGATTCATCGAATCTAACGTGGATTATAAAGGTAGGGATTTTGAGTTTATTCCATTTGGCGCGGGGAGGAGGATTTGTCCTGGAATACCGCTGGCTATAAGAATGGTGAATTTAATGTTGGCTTCTGTTATTCAACCATTTAAATGGAAGTTACCTGATGGAATGGCTCCGGAGGAATTGAACATGGAGGAACAATTTGGAGTAAGTTTGAGGAAGGCTGTTCCTCTTGTTGCAGTTCCTAGTATGGAAGAAAAATAATCTTCTTTTAATTTATTCCTGATTTAATTTTAATTTGCAATTGTTCTTCTTTACCTTGTTAATGTGATTGTGCGAAGTGTATTTATGTAATGTTTGGCTTAATAATTTGTTTTTAAAAACTTTTGGAAACAAGAAACTTGAAATTAATGAGCAACTTTTGGACGTTGCCCTTGTCTACTTAATTGTTCTATCCAAAGAGAAAATTGATTTTTGCATCGGTAAACTTTGATTTTATGTTTAATTTTGAAGCCGCATTAAATAGTGGCGGACTCAGGATTTTCAATAAATGGGTTCAAAGTTCGTAGAAATAGACATACGGAGTAGCTGAAGAAGATTCCACATATACTATATATACATAAAATATTATTTTATAAATAATATAATTTTTCATCGAAAAAGGGTTCGGATGAAACCCCTTGTACCAAGGTGGCTCCGCCCCTGACAATAAATATGCATATTAACAAAAAGTGATATACTAACATTAATTAGTTAATTGTTATTGAATCCTCGCTAAAGTCAAAAGTGATATACTAGTATTAATTAATTAATTGCTTTCGGATCCTCGCTAAAGACTTTAGAAATATTTAAAGAAGTGTGTTTCTAAAGACTTCAGGAATATTAAAAAAAGTGTTATTGCCATTAAAAGAATTTACATATTAAATTACACTTAAATTATTATCGTTAATTAATTATCAATTATTTTATTATAGTGTGAACACACATGGTTTAATATTCGTATTATTATAAAGTTTTTAGAAAACAGAAATATACATAATAAAATAAGTAAGTAGAAAAGAGTTTACAAGACGACTAAGATGAGAATACCCCACTGGCCACTGTGAATACTATTCAAGGGACACTGAATGAGAATACAGGGACAGGGACTGGGACAGTGGCGAGAAATTTCATTTATTCATCATTTTAATAATTTAATTTATTTTAAAAATTCATAAAACAACATAATAAGGAAAAAAAGTCAAATTTTTTTAAAAATAATCACTAAAATGGGGCAAAAATAAAAAAAAACCGCTAAATATGACATGACAAAGTATGTTCAATTTAGCGCATGGGGAGGGGGGAAGGGGTGTTGCTCCATTTTTCCATTTACTTTTTATATGTTCAACCTCCTCCATAAAAATTCTAGCCCCTCACTGAATATAGGACACAATTTTTTTCAAATGTCAAACATAGTAATACTCGTTTTCAAAATTTTCTGGCTTGAAAACGATTTATACCTAATTACCTATAATTTTTAAATTTCAATTTTCTATATGAGATATTTAAGATCATAAGATTAAAAAATATTTTAATATTTTGCATATCCTTATTTAATTAAGACAATAAATTCATAAACCTTCTTTATTTACTTAAATTTCATTTCAAGTCAAATTAAAAAAAAAAAAGAAAAAAATAAAGGGATCAAAAATACCATGAACGTTACAAGAAGGGTAAAAAAATAGAGAAACTTTCACATATAGCCACTTAAAAATAATTAATTACCCTCCATAGCTATAGTTTGATAATTACAATTAATAGGTACATGTTATATGAAGGAAAGAGGCGAGCGAGACTGGGAGAGAGAGAGGGGAAAATAGTGGGAGAAAAGTGAATTGTATATGTATATTAGTTAGATAATTGTATATTATATATATGTATTTGTATATATGGCAAGAGAGACAGGGAGAGGAAGGAGAGAGGCGAGCGAGAGAGGACAGAAAGTAGGAGAAAGGTGAATTGTATATGTATATAATTGTATATAACTGTATATTATACATATGCATTTATATAAATGGCAAGAGAGTTTGGGAGAGGGAGGAGAGAGGCGAGTGAGATTGAGAAAGGGAGGAGAGAGGGCAGAGAGTGGGAGAGAGGTGAATTGTATATGTATATAGGTTAAAAAGTTGTATACTATACATATATATTTTGGCAAATTATACAAACTGAAAGTCAACTCACGTAATTAATACATAATGTTAGTCGTGAGTGGTAATTGTAGCAAACTATATCTATGATGAGTAATTAAATAGTATAAATTTGCTTTGTTGCATAATTTTCCCTAAAAATTATACCCTAATATGAATTTATTTAATAGAAAAAACAAAAAAAATTATTTAAGCGTATATGATCTAGGTCATTTGTGTAATAACAAAGATATATATGCAGCACGATTTTAATTTTAATAAGGTATATTCATTCTAAATAGCTGAGAATTTGAAATGGTCTTTAATTACCTAGGTTTGGCCGAAAATATCCCTGATAAAACCCAAAAACCTGGCGCCAAAAGATCTTCATACAATATTCTTATTTTTCTCATTTTAGATAAAAACTAAAGCAAGTTAACGATAAAAATAAAAATCTACAAAATAAGCAAGTCACACCCTCTTCTTAACTAATGAGTAGCCATAAAAAATGTTGAAACATGAGCTTGAAGTTCATTATTATTTATTACTTCTTACATAAATATACTTTAAAGAAACTCACATAAAGACCATCCCAATTAACATTAATTAAGATCATAAAACATAAAGACTTAAAATCTAACCATATTTTCTTTCATACAAGGAATTGCAACAAGAGGAATAGCCTTCTTTAAAGTAACTCCAAACTGTTCCTCCATGTCCAATTTTTCTGGTGTCATTCCATCTGGTAATTTCCAATAAAATGGTTGAATAATAGAAGCCAACATCAAATTTACCATTCTTATAGCCAACGGCATTCCTGGACAAATCCTCCTCCCCGCGCCAAATGGTATATACTCAAAGTCCCTTTCTTTGTAATCCACACTAGATTCCATGAATCTTTCAGGCAGAAACTCTAGTGGTTGTTCCCAATACTTGGGGTCTCTTCCAATAGTCCAAACATTCACTAAAACTTGACTGTCCTTAGGCACGGTAAAGCCCAACACTTGTACGTCGTGTTGGGCTTTGTGAGGTAAGAGTAACCCTTTCTGTTCCTATTTGTTCCATTATTTCTTGTCCTACTTTGTTCAGCTCTTCAGGTTTTCGAAGAAGTTCTGCCATTGCCCATTCTGTTGTTATGGCCGATGTATCACTTCCCGCAACAAATAAATCCTGTCAATAGCACACAGATGTAGTAAGAGTTGGTTATCTATCCTAATTTTTTTTAGGATAACTAGGTTTTTCTTTTCACATAAAAGTATCCATATTTGACTAATCTTTTTTTCTTGTAGGAAAGATTTAGGACTCTTTAACTTATTTCTACTTCATATAAATCCGGAGTTTAATTATATTTTGTTGGTTGGAGTAAAAGTATATATCTCACAATAGAGATCATGTCCCTTACAAAGATAATTATTGATGAATTCTTATATCATGGCAACGTTAGTAATTAAAAATGATACCTAATCCACTATTACAGGTTAATCTATGATACCTAATGCCACTCTATATATGTAATTTAAATCAATATATATGTATGTTCAATATAACAAACACTTACGACGATAATTGGCTTGATAGTTTCACGATCGAATCCTGACTCTTTATCTTGACATTGATCAAGAAGTACATCCAAAAAATCTCCAGCTACCTTCATCTTCGGACTAGACGCTCTATCTTCTACTCTCTTCTCAATAAGTTGATCAAATATCTGATGCACGCTGGCCTTATACGACGCCTCACCCCTTGCAAATCTAACCACTTTAGAACCGGAAAATAATCAGACAAATTAGGTTTACCAGCATATTCATTGATTGTCCAAACCAAATCCTTAAACTCTTGAGCCATGTCAGACTCCGGATCTACCAAATCAATCGAGCGCGACACTAAATTCAGCATGGTCGCGAACGCGACACGTCCTATATCCACAGCTGAGTCATTTTCACATAGTTTTCGAATATGACACACAAGTTGTTCACCTTTTTGATGGCGGAGTGGTTGTAGCGAATCGAGTTTTTGGTTCGTAAACATTTGGGTGTTCAATATTCTTCTCTTGTTCCTCCACATGTTGTCGGACTCAACCCATGCCAACGTGGCTTCTGGATTAGGTTGGGATGTGACCGCATCGGGGGCCGTGCGGGCCGATAATGTTTTGTCGTGTTTTTGGAGGATTTCTTTAGCTGTTTCTGCGGAGGAAGCTATAACGGTGGTGATCGAGCCGAGTTTTAGAGTCATGAGAGGGCCGTGGATTTTGGTTAGCTCGGCTAGTGATTGGTTGGGTTTTGAGCCGAGTTGAAGGTGTGAGCCGATTATTGGAAATCCAGTAGGACCAGGTGGTAGCTTGTTGGTGGATTTAGTAAAATTGAGAGTTAATAGTTTGATGAAGTGCCAAGTGATCAAAAATATTGAGATGCAGAAGACGAGGATAGAAAATTCCATTTCTCTTCACTTATTTTGTACTAGCAATAGAATACAAAGATGGAAGAAAAAATAGGCTCCTTGAAGTATATATTTGTTGGTTTTGTTTGGGGTATATGCTCTTCTTTTGTGTTTTTATTCTTTAAGAGGGGATGAGGAACGAGCTTTCTTCTTCACAAGCTTATCCATTTTGAATATTTTATATATTTTATTTTTTTAATGTTACAATTTAAGTGGTACAATTAGAATTTAAGTATCGAGTAAATTTTATGTCTTCAAATACTTCAAAGTTGTTTATTGTTACGATTTATAGTATTTTTTATGTCATTTTGAAATTATATATATTAAATTTTATATCTTAATTTATGTGACATCAATAGAATTCAAATTTTTTTATACATTTCTTAAAATTTATATATTAAAAGTTAATAATTATTGTGATATATTAAATTTTTAACTTGATCGGATGATCTATCAAAAATAACCTCATTCTACCGTTCAAGGTATAGAAATAAGATAGGCATAGACACTATTATCCTCGTACCAATTAATCAAATTATAATAAATGTATAGAAAGAAAATAAATAAATCCCTCACACTAAAAAGTGCATTTAATATAGAGAAAAGGGTCTAATGTGTTTCTCAATTTTGTTATCCGGAGTTAATATATCCTCGTTATGAAATAACTCATATATACCTTTATTAGTATAGAAATAACTCAAATGTATAATTCTACTGGTATAAAAATATCTCATATATATTCTTTTTTCTAATGAAAGTAAAAAAAATTAATTTTGATTTAATCTTTTAATAATATTTTAAAAAAATATAATGCCATAATCCATATGAGTATATTTAATCCTCTTCAAACATATATTTTTTAAAACTTTTTTTGTTTCAATGATTGATTTAGATTTATTATTTTGATGGTCAAATTTATTTATATTCTTGTAGAATTTATTATAGATGACCCAATTTTTTTTAAATACAAAAACTAAATTATAATATATCTGGAAAATAGTTTTAAATTATATATAGCCAAAAAAAAATCGTTTTAAATTTTTTCTTACATTATTAAGAAATAAAAGAAAAAATAAAATAACAATAAGTAACTCAAATAATGATAATCAAGAAATCAAAAAATAATTTATATATGAAAAATATTAAAATATACCTTGAACTTTATTAGAAAAATCATATATACCCCTAAATAATGTTTTAATAAAATTAAAGGTTAATTATATAAACTTAAAACTAATTTTTTCACTCCCATTAAATGAAGATTGAAGGATATATGAGAGCTCATTTTGTCACGGTAAAAATATATATATGAACTGTTTGTATAACAGTATGTGTATATATTTGAGTTAGTTTCATAACGAAAAACATATCAACTTCAAATGACAAAATTAAGGGGTGTATCAGACTTTTATCATTTGTGCTATCCATCGCCACATAGTACCCCCATCAAATCCACGTTTCAAATTATTAAAACTTCGATTTATTTGTTTTTTTAAAAAAAAAGATTTTTTTTTATTTATATATAAATTTAGAAAGTTTTTTTCTTAAAAAAGGATAATCCAAAATTGTAAATTACTTAGAAAAGAATCAGACTTCACGAGGAATTGATCCAGGCTTCTTAAAATTATTTTCTCACAACATTTATTTAATTTTAAAATATGACATTTGTTAAAATAAATAAATAATATTCTATCCGTCTCAATTTTGTATGATACTTTTAGATTTGAAATTTAAACAAATTTATTTTCTGATTGTTAATTTTTCAATTATCATTTAATTATTTTGAATTATCAATTATTATGACTTTATAATATGTAGGTTATAAGTATATAAATTTTATTTAAAAATTTTAAATATAAAATTCCTGTTAAATTTAATTTGTTTGACTGTCAAATAAATACGTGTCACAACTGAGATAGAAAATAATTTTTTTTTACATTAATAATAAGTAGAAGTTCATCATAAACAATAAAAATCACCGCCACAAGCAGTGATCTCGAAGCAAGAACAAGCTATTGATTTTTTTCCTTTTTCCAACTTAATTTTATTTCAATACGTACATATCAGAATCTCATTGAAACTATAAAATTAAACTTTAAAAAAGTAGTATATAGTATGAGTTTACTTGTTTTCAAAATTCGGAACTGCAACAAGAGGAATAGCCTTCCTCAATGTAACTCCAAACTGTTCCTCCATATCCAAATTCTCTGTTGTCATCCCTTTTGGTAACTTCCAATTAAATGGTTGAATAATAGAAGCCAACATCAAATTCACCATCCTTATCGCAAGTGGCATTCCGGGACAAATCCTCCTCCCAGCGCCAAACGGAATAAACTCAAAATCTCTACCTTTGTAATCTACACTAGATTCCATGAATCTTTCGGGCATAAACTCTAGTGGTTTTTCCCAGTACTTTGGATCTCTTCCCATTGACCAAACATTCACGAAAACCTGACCGTCTTTAGGCACGTTGAAGCCCAACACTTGTATGTCGTGTTGGGCTTTGTGCGGTAATAGTAATGGAACTGCGGGGTGAAGTCTCATCGTTTCTTTTACAACTGCTTGAAGGTATGGGAGTTTGTCCATGTCTGATTCTTTCACTGCCCTTTCTATACCTATTTGTTGAATTATTTCTTGCCGTACTTTGTTGAGTTCTTCAGGATTTCGAAGGAGTTCTGCCATTGCCCATTCTGTTGTTGAGGCTGATGTATCACTTCCAGCAATGAACAAATCCTGACATATAATATCAGTTTAGTATGCTTACACATGTGCATTACGTCAAATAATTAATTGATCTAAAAATATGATTAAACACTTACAAGGATAAGTGGCTTGATAGTTTTTCTATCAAATCCAGAATTTTCAACTTCACATTGATCAAGAAGTACATCCAAAAAATCTCCGTCTTTCTTCATCGTCTGGCCAGTCGCTCTATCATCTAATCTCTTTTCAATATTTTCTTCAAATATTTCATGCAACCTTAAATACGCTGGCCTTATACGCCTCCGTATTCCTTGCAAATCTAACCACTTTAGTAACGGAAAATAATCAGAAGTATTCGGTACCCCAGACTCCTCCATAATTGTCCATACCAATTCCTTAAACTCATGAGCCGTTTTAAATTCCGTATCCACCATATCGATCGAAAATATCGTGTTCGATATTAAATTCAACGTCGTCGCGAACGCGACCCGTCCAATATCAACAGCCGAGCCACTCTCACACTGGCTCCTTATATGGCTCACTAGTTGTTCCGCCTTTTGGCGGCGTAGCTCTTGAAGCGAATCGAGTTTTTGGTTAGTGAACATTTGCTTGTTACATATTCTTCTCTTGTTCCTCCACATGTTGTCGGGCGGGACCCATGCCAACGTGGCCTCCCAATTTGGTTGGGAGGCCACGGCATTTGGAACTGTGCGGGCCGAGAATATTTTATCGTGTTTTTGAAGGATTTCTTTGGCTGTTTCGGGAGAAGAGGCTATAACGGTGGTGATGGAGCCGAGTTTTAAAGTCATGAGAGGGCCGTGGATGTTGGCTAGCTTGGCTAGTGATTGGTTGGGTCTCGAGCCGAGTTGAAGGAGTGAGCCGATTATTGGAAAGCCAGTAGGACCAGGTGGTAGCTTTTTGGTATAGAAATATGGTTTGATTAAGAACAAGAAGAAAATTAGGGAGATGAAGAAGATAAGAATGGGAAGTTCCATTAAATTCTCTTCAATTTTTGTCCAGTCTAAGTTAATAGGACTTGTGTAGAGCTTACTTAGATATATATGTTTTGATCTATTTAGAGATCGGATAAGCTTACTTCTTTGTGAGCCTATCTAGAAAAAATGAATCGAGTATACTAGTATCATGTTGCAACGAGTGGCTCATCGGCCATGTGTCGACAACTTTCTACCCAACCTACAATTCATCCACAAAAATTATTTTTAAATGATAGATAATGTCAGTAATCTCTCACACATTTCAAGACTTGTTGGATAATATATGGTTTGAATAAAATAAATTTGATAGTGTTTACTCCCGCGCGTGTTTAGAATTAAGTTGAGTTAATTATTTTTATTTTTTTTAGTTATTACTTTTTACCATGATTATATTTATATTATGTTTGAATATCTATAATAAGTAGATTTGTAGTTATTGTGTTTTAAGTTCTTTTATAATTTATATTAGAAAGTATATTTGAGAAATTTAATATTATTATTTTGGTTATGTTATTAGCATAATTGAAATAACCAAATAAAAAATTGGAATCGAATAGAAAAAAATCAAATCAAATCAAATTTATTTTGAATCGATTAGGTTATATTTTTACAAAATCAAAAATTAAAAAATTCAAATCAAATAGTCGAACCAAAAAATAGAACGTGTGCATAAAAACAATATAAAACATAAAAATAAAAAAAAATTAAAATATTTTGAATTATATTAATTTTATCTTTAATAAACTTATCTCATAATATTATATCCTATATATTAGTACCTCCAAATAAAAAATATTAATAATATATCTTATAATACCATACAAAATATAACACTAAATTATATTATAAATTATTTTTGCTAATACAAAAATCAAAATAGTTAACTTTTGAGAATCAAAAGGGCATTCATTGCGTAAAAGAGCACGTTAAGAATCTCATACATGTTCAGAAAGGGATAAAGCCATTAAGATAAACACTTTAAGATATACCGTATAACCTTGTTTTATTTCATATACTACCATAAAAATAACTTTTAGCAATGATAAATTTACACATTAATAAAGAATGTTAGCTAAAGTCTTTAAACGATATTAGTTAAGTGTCATTAGAACTATCATCTTTAAAGACTTTAAAAACATATAAAAAGTATTTATTATTACTAAAAAAAAAAATATATATATATATATAGCGATAATTAAGTTGTTGTCATTACTCAATGGTTTGATGTAGTGATACTAGGTATTGCAATAAGAGGAATAGCCTTCTTTAAAGTAACTCCAAACTGTTCCTCCATGTCCAATTTTTCTGGTGTCATTCCATCTGGTAACTTCCAATTAAATGGTTGTATAATAGAAGCCAATATCAAATTCACCATTCTTATAGCCAGCGGCATACCTGGACATATTCTCCTGCCCGCGCCAAATGGTATAAACTCAAAATCTCTACCTTTATAATCCACACTAGATTCCATGAATCTTCCAGGCAGAAACTCTAGCGGCCTTTCCCATGACTTGGGATCTCTTCCAATGGCCCAAGCATTCACTAAAACTTGACTGTCTTTGGGCACGGTAAATCCCAACACTTGTACGTCGTGTTGGGCTTTGTGAGGTAAGAGTAATGGAGTTGCTGGATGAAGTCTCATCGTTTCTTTTACAACTGCTTGAAGGTATGGGAGTTTGTCCATGTCTGATTCTTTAACTGCCCTTTCTAGCCCTATTTGTTCCATTATTTCTTGTCCTACTTTGTTGAGTTCTTCAGGTTTTCGAAGAAGTTCTGCCATTGCCCATTCTATTGTTATGGCCGATGTGTCACTTCCAGCAATGAATAAATCCTGTCAACGGATTACAAATATAAGTCGTACCCGAATAACTCAAATTTAAACTAAGAAAAACGCTTACAAGGATTATCGGCTTTATAGTTTTGCGATCATTTTCATCTTTACAGTGATCAAGTAGTACATCCAAAAAATCTCCGTCTCTCTTCATCGTCATCCCTTTTACTCTTTTCTCAATGTTTTCTTCAAATATTTCATGCAACCTTAAATACGCTGGCCTTATACGTCTCCGTACTCCTTGTAAATCGAACCACTTTAAAACCGGAAAAAAATCAGATAGATTTGGTACCCCGGCATCTTTCATAATTGTCCCTACCAATTCCTTAAACTCATGAGCCGTTTTAAATTCTGGATCCACCGTATCGATTGAAAAAATGGTGTTGGATATTAAATTCAACGTGGTCGCAAACACGACCCGTCCAATATCAACAGCGGAGCCACTCTCGCAGCGGCTCCTTATATGGTTCACTAGGCGTTCCACCTTTTGGTGGCGTAGCTCTTGAAGCGAATCGAGTTTTTGGTTAGTGAACATTTGCGTGTTACATATTCTTCTCTTGTTCCGCCAAATGTTGTCGGGAGGGACCCACGCCAACGTGGCTTCCCGATTCGGTTGGGAAGAGACTGCGTCGGGAATTGTGCGACCCGAGAATGTTTTGTCGTGTTTTTGGAGGATTTCTTTGGCTGTTTCAGGGGAGGAAGCTATAACGGTGGTGATCGAGCCGAGTTTTAGAGTCATGAGAGGGCCGTGGATTTTGGCTAGCTCGGCTAGTGATTGGTTGGGTTTTGAGCCGAGCTGGAGGAGTGAGCCGATTATTGGAAAGCCAGTAGGACCAGGTGGTAGCTTCGTGGTGGATTTAGTAATATTGAGAATTATGAAGAAAATTAGTGAGATGGAGAAGAGAAGGATGACAAGTTCCATTTTTTAATTTTCTCTTCAATTCTTGTTTAGTTCCAATTTTCTGCTGATTCGACTTTGTATATATAGTGATAAAAAGAGGGAAGAGGCTCCCCCCAAAATAAAAAATAAATTTATTCTTAAATTTTTTTTTCCAATTTTAAAAATTCATTTTTTTTCAGTCCTACACTCGAAAATGTAGGTTTTCTTATTAAATGAATCTTACCCCAACCAAATTTGATTTAATCATACTAAGGGCTCTAAAAGTTAAGGGGAAAAAAACTTATTAATAAAAAATATGTCTTCCTTGATTTTCAGTGTAGTGTCTGTATCCATTTTGAGATATTGACTAATTCTGCTTCACACAAAATTATTAAAGAGAATTACTTGATATTGTAATTTTTTTAATTCTAAAAAATTTAAACTTGAGATAATAATGGAGGGACTCTATTTATCCAATCACAACTCTCCATAGTAAGATATATATATCTCACTTAGCAAGGATATGACTTGATCTTCTCCCTTTCTCTTTTGTTTATTTTTCTAAAGTTCTTACTTGAATGAAAGAAATAATAAAGCATTAGTTCATTTAGCTGGATTATTCTCAGAGGCAGGTTTGTTACTTGATAATTCACATTAATTCCTAGTAATAGACTTGTAATTTTTCTTCTATGCTACTTGGTTTAGCTCAATTACTTTAGGTGTACCCAACTTAGGCAACTTTTCTACTCTATTAATTAGGAGATTAAATAAATCGTAAATATTTTTTGGAATCTATATTAAATCTATATTAAGTGATTAGTAAGGGTATGACATATTTTTATGAAAAATATTTTAAAGGCATAAACTAAAAGTTATTTTTCATTATTACCTTTATGATTATTCTCAAATTTTTCACTAAAGTAGCTAAGAACCTCATTAAATTAAGGGTAAATATGAAATAAAATGTCTCAACAATCCTCATAGACTTTAAATAATTCAATTATTTTAATCATGAAAAGGATCTCATAATTTGTTTAATATAGATCAGAGGGAGTTCTTCTGTTATTGCCAAATAAAATTGTTCATAACGTTTGGATAAAAAAAATATGTTTAGTATCTATTTCAATCTTGGCTTGATTTCGAGTACAAATGTTAAATCATTAACTAATGTTTGATTTGATTTAAGATATAAAATTCTTCAAAGTTTTGAAATAAAATTTACATATTTAATAAATATAGAAAAGTACAACCACCACGGCGCCATCCTCCCCTCTCCTATCCTCTTTTTCTATTCCCTTTTAGATTACTTGAATTGTTTGAAATATATTTTTATTTTTTAAATTAATTTTATTGTTCAATTTTTAAAATTATTTTTTAAATTTTACCCTTCATCCGTTAATATTAAAATTAATTATTTAGATATTCTAATCATAAGTTTGACAATAATTACTAAGAATAAAAATTTAAAATATACCTAATTCATGACTCAATTTTTTTTAAAAAAAAATATAAAATATCTTAACAATTCAATTAATTTGAAACAAAGAAGTTCTTCCTTTAGCTCTGAAAATTATAGGGCACCAATTCTTTATCTATGAACCCTCAATTAGTGGTAAATGAATATATAGTTGATATCAAGTACATAAAAAAGTGTTGTATGCTAACCCATCATCATGATGCAAAGGAGGAAGATGGGTTTTCCATCCAATGGAAGGATATGGGTGATAGAATTGTTGACAATCGCATAATATAACGAAGGATAAAACTAATCGTTAAATAAAAATTAAGGGATAATTTTAACGATTTTCTATCACATTTTTTTGAAATAATATAACTATATAGAAAAGACGGTTGCTGGCAGATAAACTAAATGGACCCAGATGAGCAGAGAGAGACAAGGATGAAAGAAATAGTAGTAACAAAGATTGCGTATCTAACAGAGACAAGTGTACCCACTTAAACATGACACTTCGTCTAAGTTCCTACCATCTTTCTCTCTTTCTTGTTGTTTTTCTCATTTTAATTTGTTTTAAAACAATACGACAATTTTTAAGTTTGAACTTAAATGTCTAATTAAAACAATGCGTAAAGGAGAAATTATTAATGATTCTTAAACCAAAACTTTTTACATTCGAAATTATTTGTTATGTTGCTTATCAAAAGTCAATTTGATTAATTTTCAAAGGTAAATTAGTTTACATTAATCTGATATTCTGAATAAAAAAAATTAAATATCCTAAAATTATATATAAAGTATTATAAATTACAATTTTTTGCATATTAATAAGATAAAAAAAATACATCTTAAAATGTTAGTCAAAATTTTTATAGTTTAATTCTAAAACCGGACGAAGAAAATACTTATATTCATTTATTTTTTAACTCCCAAAAGTAAGTAGTATTATTGACTCGCCGAATCCACACAAAACCCGACTACCCAAGCTAACTTGTTACGTACCTGTTTTTTCTTTCGTTGAACTTTACATGTGAAAAAAGAAGAAGATCAAGAGGCAAATATGGTGGGCATATTTTCGAGATTTTCTGTGAGCAGAGCTGGTCATCGTCGGACTCAAAGTGCACTTGTAAGTTGCATCTCTGTTTTTTCGTTTTGACTTTCAGGTCTCAACTGAAAGTTACAAAGCCATTTAGAGCTTGTTTACTAAGCGCGCCGCGAAGATTTAGTTATCGGAACTTTTATGATGTAATTTGGTTGCAGGATGAAAGGGAAGTGTTTCCCCCAAATTCAGGGGCTACTATAGAGAGGGCTTCCTCTGGGACGCCTCATGGTATTGAATTTGCAGTTGAGTTCAAGCCAGTTAAACACCCCTCTGAGCCTCTCCATATTGATCGACCAATTCAATGTCCCTTTCCAGAGCCTTCAGTCCTAAATGTAAGGTCTTCTACTCCCCCTATATGTCTCTGAAGTAGTCATGTGAGTATGTCCGATCCAGTATGTCTAAAGACTCGTGGATTCAAGATTTAAAGTTAATAGTTTCAAGACTGATTTTTTCTTTTCTTTTGAATTCTCCCAGCTCCTTCATTCTACTTATTAGGACTGCTAACTGGAATTTGTATAATGCTCGACTTACAGGAGGGAAGAATATGGAAGGAGAGAGGGTCTTCTGTGCGAATTAGAAGGCCTGAAGGAAAAGCTACCGACTCTATGGCAACTCAAACAATACCTGGAACTCCCATGAATCGGGCTATTCTTCCATCAATGAGTGCACCTGAACACAGTCTGCTTAAATTGTTGGAGGAATCTGGGATTTGTTGATGGATTGCTCCACTTCGTCTGTCAAGCTTACTACAAGAAACATGATGGTATTGTGTATGTAAAAATTCAAACACAGTTGCATGTAAATTTATATAATAATGTTATAAAGATTTCCTTTCTATTGTAGACAATACTACGTTTTATGTTAATGTTGTATCTTATACATCATTATGGATTGATTCTATAATACAACTCAAAAAATGTATGGTCCAGATACTCGTTTCCGTTTTCACTATTCAATTCTTCTTAGCTGTGCTTGGTGCAAAAATCTTGGAGAATTATCTATATATTCTTTATATTCCTCCAACAAAATTACTAAGGACCTAAGTATGGGTTGTATGTTTAATTATGACCAAAAATAAAATATGGGATGTTAGCTAATGAGTTGATATTCAAAACATAACTAGAAGTAAAGAAATAACACAACTCTTCGTCCATTGAATAAGTATGATATATCGTACACCCTCTCAAAAGATACACAAATTAACAGAATCATATTTCATCAAACCTTAAAAGTTTTTAACAATGACGCTAAGACAAAAAGAGCTATCAACTTTGAAAATCTAAGCAAGATACCACATGCATTACATTTGCGAACTTTCCAGCCTTCCCTTTAATAGCACCTCGGTGAATACCCAGATTTATTTGAAAATCCTTTTCTAGGCTAAATAAATTACGCCCGTGATCAAAAGGTAGCAGGTGGTTTCTCCATACTTTTACAGCCTTAGCATCACCCTTTTTCCATTCCACCCTAACAACAAGCATATAACATGGATTATAAGAAACAGAGAAGCCCAGTTTTTTATGTCATCAACCTTTTAAGAGACATAATATACCATCACTCAGCAGATCTCTATATCTCGCATCTCTTGACCTATGTGATGCAAGGAAGTTACAACAATAGGAATGTAGAAAGAAATGAAAGAAAAAGAATATATATATATATATATATATATATATATATATATAATGCAACCGGATCCCTCACATTCTAGGACGAGTCTATCACGAAGACGGATTACTTTGTCACCATAATGATTCACTAGATCTAAGCCTTCCCCAAAAGCCCGCTGTATTTTACCTATTAAATATCTTAACAAAGTGGCAGACTGTTCTTTAAAAAAAAAATATACTGTTTCTGCTGGAACTAAGGAATAAATTTGGACAGCTGGGCTTGCACCTAAATTGTTGGAGTTGGTCGATAAAAGGATGCATGAAGTGAAATAGCAAGATACAAGATAGCAACTCTCTCCTGGGGTTGATCAATAGATAGACTGCATGACGCAAAGGAGCACGATATATGCTTTTTTTAAAAAACTTTGTTATTGTCTCGCATAATTAGAGTTTTGACACCAAGATACATAGATATAACTCACATAAGGATAGGAAAATAACACCACTAAAGTGTTAAAGATAATATTCCAAACAAGTCCTGTAAAACAAATAAATATATTTATAAAAAATTTTACGGGCATGGAGACTTGAGCTAAAAGGCCTCAACAGAAAATACGAGGGAGGTACTCACTGCAGAAGTGTAAACTCCATTTACGATGGCAGTAATATGTCCAGCTGGAACAAGTTAGCTCAGCTATTAGATTTGATGGCAGTGGCACCATTACAAGATTGGCTATTTCTTTGTGAAAGTCTAGCAGGCTTCTTGGAGTAGCAAGAATTCCACTCCCCACCATCCTGAGCATAATAATCCATTGGATAATCTACTTGTGTCTCTTCCTTCACTTCCTCACCACTCTTATCACAAGCACCACAAGACTCATTCTTTGAACACTTCATTACTTCATCACGACATATATCTGAATTCTTTGATGTCGTCCTCTCCCACCATCCAGACAAATCACCCAATGCAATCTCCGCCTCAAATGGTGTTAGCAAAGGCTTTTTAAATGCATCTCCCCAATCAATTGACAACCTCGGACAAGCAATCTGAATCCAGGCATCCACTGCATCCTCAAACAATGCAATCCTCGTGGGAGATATCTCCGACATCAACACAACTGTCCAAGTCATCCCCTTTTCGGACATTTTCTTCTCTAACCTATCCAATATCCTTGGATTCCCTTGCCTACCTAATGTCCCAAGCACTATCCCCCAATTCTTCGCCCCCCTGGCTTTTTCAATCGCTCTCTTCCTCTCCTCCTTCATTCCCTTATGATCATACTCCTCCACAAACAACTTCCCTATAAACGGATCATATCTGTAAGTCTTTATCCCCGGATTCGCTATCATAAACGCCTCCAAATGAAACCTACCGTCAGCCACAAATATCAAAACTACATTCTCTCCATCAGAAAATCTGTTCTTAACACTCGGGGCAGTACAGCCGAGTACCTCCCCAGCTGATAACGGTTTAGCTTGAGGAATCAAAATACTAAACCCCAATTTTTCAAGTTCGGGCTTAACCGCCCGAATTGCAGAAGCAAATTGAATTGTCCCAGCCATAATGATATTGTCATACGTATCGGAATTATAAAAATTGAGTTTGAGTTCATTCAACAACCTGTGAACATCGATTGAGATTTCGACGAATATATAAAGGCATGGGATAGTGGTGGAATCAATAGGCACGAGGCAGCTATGGCCGAAATGAATGAGGAGATCAGCGGAAAGCGCTCCCGCCGAGAGGTCGTCAACGCAACACGCGCCGAAAGTCACGTCGCCGAGGATGAAACAGTGAGTGGCGGAAGTGAATGTGGAGAGTATATCGGAGATGATGAGTGAGTACATGAGGAGACCCTCAGGGAACTGCAGGGCCACACGCTTGGCACTTGAAGTTCGCACTCGCCATACACACTTGTGGATTTCGAAGTTGTAGTTTTGAGGTAAAAGTGATATGGCGGCGTTGAGTGCTGCATCGTTTAGGATGGAGTCTGGTATTTGGTTCTTCACGAACCTCTTCGGACGCGGCCGGGTTGACTGCTGCAGTGACTGCTGATCTCCAGCGTCAACTGCGGTCGTCGCTGACGCCGCCGCCGCCGGAGTAGGGTTCAGTGGGAGAAGGCCGCCGTGTTCTTTCTCCATAGTTTGTAAACTGGCGGTGTAGATGTAATGGAGAGAGACTCAATTTTGTATAAATACTGTGATTATAGGCTAATTAGGGATCTCTAATATCCAAACACCTCTTTGTTTTTCTACTTTTACTTTGTAGTCCAATAAAGAATATATCAATAACTTGATTATTCATATATTTATTTTAATATCATCTTTAATTTGTAAATAGAATAAAAGTTGTTGATATATTAATTTTATATATAGAGAATTATTAACTAATGAGTAGTTTCTGAATAAATTTTTTTTTAATGATAGCAATACGTTTAGTATCAGTTTAAGTGAAATTATCAATTTTAATGATCTAATATAGTATATCTGTGCTGATTTAGCATCTGTTTTAAAAAATCAAATTTCTTCTTAAATGATTTTTAGATTGGATTTTGAGTCCAAAGTTGTTGCTATTTGTTTGTCGTAATTTCAAATGTGACAATAAGATCCAGACGGGAACAATTGAGGAATTCTTGTGTTGATAGAAAGAACACAAGTATCCGCTGCGATAATCGACGTATATGTAAACTGGCATGGAAACGAAAAATTCAACAAGCTATGTGAAGAACCAAAGTTTGTTTCTTGGTGGGTAATGTTTGGGGGTGGGATCAATTCCAAGTATAAGAGCTAGACTCACCATTGGAGTGAAGCTAACATTTTTATTCCACAAATAATACAGAGTTCTGAAGTAAAATGGAACTAATTCTAACAAGATCAAAGTTTTGGGTAAAAATACAACAGGCTCTCATTAGGTGCTTATTGATGAAAGTGATTCTGACGTTACAATTCAGAGCTCTAATATATCCTTTTTGTGTTGTAAAATCTGATGTTGAAGTCATAATATATCCATTGGATATAATATCCTATACATGCAGATCATTATTGAAGTTGGATTGAAGAAACAGCTGCAGTAATTTCCTTTGCTCGAGGATCATGCTCTTCCAAAGATACACCGCGGGGATCTTCCGTAACTAGCATAGCAAGAACATTGAGTGAACTCCAAGTTTTTGTCACATTTTTGCTTGAAGCCCCCAAAGTGACAGCAAAGACCGCATCAAAACCACCAGCACCAGGAACACCAGCCAACAGAACCCCCTCCATACTCATCGTTGTATCCAGAAGGTGAGTTTGTGATTCAGGTTCTATCTGTGAATTTAACACATGGTGAAGGATGGTTTAAAAAAATGGGAGAAGACAGCAATGCAGCTGACTCTTAAGAGCTTTTGATTTTAAGTACATGGTAGCGACAAACTTACCGGAATTCCTGCAGCCTCTCCCATTTTGCGCATATAATACCTGATTCCAAGCATCGCATCTCGGGCTCCTAATAACCCTTTAACAATATCTGCTTGACTTGGTTCATTTGCTCTCTCAAGCCACTATTCATGGTGAAAACCAGAAAAAACTTCAGTTCTAGAAGAAAATTTCATTAACTGTGGAAGGAATATTACATCATCCAATCAAAAAGTAATGATGCTCGATTTGAAGACAGAAATATTTGCAAGGAGGTACTTGGATTGTCTAAATAGTTGATCACGAAAAAGTCATTCAGACATGCAGGAGAAAAGAATTGAATGACCTTTTTTAGATCGTCGGTGCCTTGCCTCCAAAACGTGATGGTACTAAAAAATAAAAAGGATTTTTGTTTGTGTAGAAACAACATAATGGAAGCTTCTCTAAGAAAAATGGTTGTTGGTTCCAGCTAATGGTTGCAACAAGCAATTTGAAGGACTCGAAGGAGGAGGATTAAGACTCCCAACAGAAAGAGGGCTTAAAGATTCACTGGATGCAAGTTCAGAGGAAGGGGGCTCTATTGCCTCAGAAAGACTTGCCAGTCTATTATAGTGGAACTAGAAGGATCCTTCACTCCTTATTGATATATACAAGCAGCAAATAAAGTTCAAAATCAAAAGTAGAATGGGAAGTATTGAGAAGAGGGTATCTTTTGTAATTTGTTTTTACAGAGGGAATAAATCCCTTATTCTACATATGTTAGCCTGCACTTGCAGTATGTTTGTGTTAATTGTTTCCATTAGCTCTTAAGTAATGCATTTTTCAGCTATTACGGCTGTAGTTTCAGGTGGTTTTTAGTGAGAATGACTAATCAAGAAGGTAGTCAACCCCAAGCAACTTGGGATTGAGGGTGTAATGATTGTTGTATGACTTATCAAGAAGGTGAAAGTAACCATTGCTATCGTTCGGAATCAACTCAGTAAAGTTAAGCCAATTTTCTGCACTTCAAACACCCATGGATACTTAGCAGAGTAAGCCTTTCCAGAACAAGTTAGAAGCTAAGTGTATCAAGGATAATTACACCTACCATTAAGCATAAAATGAAGCAAAAAACTTCCGTACTTAGTACGGATAGTTCGCAAAATTTCTACATAATACTAGATCTTAAACATCCTTTCCAATTCTGACCAAAAGAATTTTACCTTTTCTGCTGGAAGCAGGCTGCAGGCGTTGATGAGACATTCATAAACATTGTAGTTCCTTTCTGCCAATTTACACAAGGTATTAAGGTGCATTTCCAAGGCAGAGTTTCCTTCAGACAACTTTTTCCATGTTTCAAGAGAATTCTGAGGATCAGACTTCTGCCATTTCTTAACAGCACCAACCATAGATGGGGTAGAAGATCCTCCACTGCCCGGTTCTCCAAGTAACTGCAAGATGCTTAGCAATCAATTTCAGCAACTTAAAGGAAGAAACACTGTGCACCACAGATAATTTACATGGTAATTAATAAGTCAAATTTTATAGCAGTAGAGTGTAGTAGTGAGCCTCAAAAGAGCAAGAAAGAATCCATAATAATGGGCCAGCACAAGGTCAAAAATTATAGACAGGATACTTCAATGTTAATGTTTGCATGAGTTACCTTCCAACTAAGATTAATTACCCATCACAGCTGACGAAATCACTTAATCTTAACACAGCAATATTTATGTTTAACTCTCGCACCACAAAGAGTGACTATATTTGACAACAATATTTACCAGTTGGGGTGTGAAACTTGCTTTTGGTTCACTATGAGCATGATAATCAATCTTATGTCCAGTCAACAATGAGCTTGGAGGTCAAAAAAGGATGTGAAGATTTATAATTAGAAGAAGAGTTATAAAAAAGATATGATTATCAGGTAAATCAAATTTCTTTATCATCCAGCTTACTAAAAGTCAATAAGAATTTCAACACAGTTATACAGACAATGTTCAACAGAATATGGAACATAATTTATCAGACTCACGAGAGTCATCAATGGAGGCAATGAAAACTTGGTCCTCTCATGGTCCCACTTGGCTTTCAGGACATCATAAATGACTTCTGTTAGTGGTGTTGCCATACCTGCATTCTGCAAATCCAAAATAATCAACAAGTCAGAGCTATTTGGAAGATTCAACAAAATTAAGATGCAAAATCTGCAGTATCTCTCAACTCCACCACATAATATTATCTTTTCACTATTAAAACTCTTTACATTATGTATTCCTGTATGGTAACCTACATCTACCCCACCCCAACCACCCAGGAATCAACAGAGGCCTTTCCCCACTTTGCTCTTTCAGGAACTCAAAACCCACTATCGAGGTTTGATGTGGAGGGTGCCTTCAACTTGAGCCACCCCATCTTGTCAAGTTTTCCTTCAAATTAAAGCACACTACTGATAAGATAAGGCATCACATGTCCAACAGGTTTCGCATGGCACGGGAAAGAGGTCATGCCATCATTCCTTAACTTAAGTAGAGGAGAGTTCAAATAAACAACCAACAGAAGGAAAACCTTGCTCCAGACCTTTGTGAAGCCCACCAGAGACATCGTTCTTGCCATGGAATGAAACCAAAAAGGTAGTATCTCACCTGAAATGACAAGCATCTCTATTGGAGTTGCTGACAAAAGTACTGATTCACATGGATGACTTTAATCAAAGTAGTTTGGCAAATAGAAAGCAAAGGCTCACTTATCATACAACTGCCACTCACCCAATATTACCTTTAGACTGGACACAAATGATTAACCAATTAGGTACTTCTCCATCCCATATTAGTTGATCATTATACCAACAATAGTTTCTCATATTAGTTGTCTACCTTTGACCTTACTAAATCAAGAAAGCATTGTTTAAATTTTTTCTATATAACCCTTGTAATTAATTCTTTTTTAAAGTATTCACATTTGTTTGTAAAATTCCCAAGAAGTTTTTTAAGGGGTAAATAGTAAAATTATCTTCTATTTATGATTTCTTAAGTACCGTGCAAAATGAAATGTGATCATTATATGGGACGGAGAGAGTACCTTGTAAGACAGAATTTGAAACTCCGCAGTTTTGATTAGAGGTGGTTCTAGCATGACTGCTTTGTCTAAAAACTACTACAAAGTAGTGTTAGTAGAAAGGAGAGATGGTTGGCATCTCCACCGAAAGGGATGGGAACAGCCTTTAGGCTTCACCTGTTACCACACATCCGGTTAAGGCTTCCCACTTCGGTGGATCTTTCCCTAATTCTTTTCTCATAAAAAAAACTACTAGAAATAGGTCGATTGAATTTCTGGCAATTTGCTTCATGTATACAAGTGACCAACATTCTGAAGAGCAGAAACTATCTTAGTTGCAGCTTCCCTTGTTACCCTTTTTGTTCTGTAATATAAGAAAATAACCAAAAAGAGTTATATTTCTGGGCGCATATAGAGCCTCAAGCAACAAAGCTAGAGTTTAGACTTTGCACCAATGTCAATAGTCTAAAGCAAGTTTTATCAGGCCGCTGAGCTAAAGGCCCAGAGGAACCTAAATGGTTATTCCAAACTTACTTCCACCATAGTTACTTCCCTATGAAGGTGGTACCACTTCTTCTGGATTCATGCCTAGCCCAACAGCAATTTTTCCGCCTTACTGTCTTTATTTGTGCTATCACTAACCCGATCAGCGTCATTCTATCGAGTTAACAATAAACAGGAGAATAGCACCTTGTGGTGCCAGAAACAGCCTATTGACGATGTGATTTAGATATTTTCTAGAAGTTGCCTCAATTTGGAAAGAGTATCAACTTTACATAACACTTTTCAGGACAAAAGCTATTTA